GGGAAGAGGAGGAGGAGGAGGTGTGGAGGCGAGGCGGAGGAAGAGATGGAAGAGGAGGAGGAAGAGGAGGAGGAGGAGGGGCAGTAGGAAGGCAAGGAGGAGGAGGCGGAGGTGGAGGAAGAGGAGGATGAGGAGGAGAAGGAGGAGGAGGGGAGGAAGGGGGCGGAGGAGGAGGAAGGGGGAAAAGGATAGGACGATGGGGGGACGAGGAAGAGTAGGGGGAGAGGAGGAAGAGCAGGGGGAAAGAGGACGAGGAAGAGGTGTCGTTTTCGGCCGCCCTGGGCTGCCTGGGGGTGAGGGGCGCCCAAAAGCTTTTCGAACCATGACCGCGAAACTCGACGAATAACCGAAGTGCGTTCAGCCTTCAACCTCCTCGTCCGTTATTTGGCCGTTGCCCCAGGCGAAGCTAGAACTTAAGCGCGCGCGTAGCGCGCGCGTGGTTCTAGTATATATATATCTGTATATATATATATATATGTATATATATATATGTATGTACATACATTACATAGATTATATATATATATATATATATATATATATATATATATCCAACATCCGCCTGTAGGGCGACATGCCCGACCTGACCCTTGCATCCTTCCTCTTCGGCCCGTCCTTTGCCGCGTTCGCTGGCCGCGGCCCGCTCGTAAATTGCCGGCGTGGTTTTCCAAGGCATCCTTGCATCCCAGAAGCCAGGCGAGGGCTGGCCAGCCCGTGGCTGCTGAAACGGAGCTCCGGAAACTTGTAGATCCCCAATCAGTGCGGATATTTCCCCAATCAGAGCTTGCCTCTTAGGGGTCCTAGCGGATTCGTATGGTTAGGTTAGGTTTGCCGCCGATTTTCGCCGCACGGCCGGGTGCCCGGGTGCCCGGGTGCCCGGGTGCTTGGGTGCACGGGTGCCCCGATGCCCGGGTGCCTGGGTGCCCGTGTGCCCGGGTGCTTGGGTGCCCATGTGCCCGGGCGCCCAGGTGCTCGGTAGCTCTATATAGCCCTATAGCCCTGTAGCCCTATAGCCCTATGAACCCTATATCCTCATAGCCTTAGAGCCCTGTAGCCCTATAGCCCTATAACCCTACAGCCCTATAGCCCTATTAACCCTATATCCTTGTAGCCTTATAACCCTATAGCCCTATAGCCTTACAGCCCCAAAACCCTATAGCCCAATAGCCCTATAACCCTATGGCCCTGTAGCCCTTTAGCCCTATAGCCCCATAGCCTTCTAGCCCTATGGCCTGATAGCCCATAGCCCTAAAGCCCTAAAGCGATTATGATTGGGTTTTTTCTCCGGTATCATGAAAGATTTGGCGAAAGTTTCCCGACGATTTTGGTGGCCGGCTGGGTTCCAGTGTTCCCGGGTTTCGGTTCCGGGTTCCCGGGTTCCTGCTTATTGGTTTCGGTGGGTTCCGGGTTCCCGGGTTCCCGGTCGATCTTTCGATCGATCAAACCATTCATTGATTGAGGATCTTATTTGGTGTAATCAATTATGTTTTTCGGGGAAACAACCCGTTTATTATTTAGTGCGCAGAATATTTAGTTCCTTCCAGGAAGATTGTTTTAGCAACCGCGGATGTGCCAGCTTTCTCCCAGCTTCCGCGCATTCTTGCCGTGAGTCCTTCTGAGACGGGCTGACTGTCAACGTACATTTTCGGAGCTCTGCTTGGATTTCTCGGATGAACGCTGGGCCTCCCCATGGCGCCGCCTCCAGCGCCGCCCCCTGGCGCTTCGCGCTCCAGGGAGGGGCTACCAGCGCCGATCCGAGAAATAAACGCGGACCTCCGAACATTTACGTTTGCGTCATGATTTGTTCTTCGTTCCTCAAACGCAGCTTTCGGACGTCTTTGGTCGGCCCCCTTTGGGCTTCGCGAGGCCTGCGGGGACCTCCAGAGGGCTCCAGATGACGACCAGATCGTCCGTGGTCCGTTGCTCCCGACCGCCCTTCGCTCCTATCACCCTTGTCCTTCTGCTGCTCCTCCTCCTCCTCCTCCTCCTCTTTCTCCCCTTCGTCCTCATTTCTCCCGTTTCTCCCCCTCCAGCTTTCTTTCCTCTCCTATCAGCCGGCTGCCTCCATCTTTCCCTCCTCCCCTTATTTTTATTATTTCCCGAAAGCTTTTCGCCGCCCCCCCTGGCCCCGCTCTTCCGTCCCCTTCCCTGCAGTTCTTCTTCCTCCCTTCTCTCCCCTCCATTCACCTCTCCTCCCCCTTCCTTCAGTTCCCCTCCGTCCACCCTCCTTCCCCCCTCTCCCGCATCCTCCCCCTCCCTCGTTCCTTCTCTTGCTTCTCGTCATCGCTTCCGCCCGGCACCCCCTCATCCCGCTCCCCCCCTCTCCCTCCTCGCTCCTCCTCTTCCCCCGCCCCCCCTCCAGCGTTTCCCGAAAAAGGAGGGGGCCGCCGCCGTGACGGCAGCGCTCGACCAGTACAAGAGCCACCGCATCCGCGGCAAGTGGATCGAGGTAAAGAGCGCGGCGCCGCCGCACAAGTTCGTCACCCAGGACACGGCGGAGGCTCCCACGTCCTCCCCCATCCTCCTCGTCATCGCTGTCGCCGTCGTCTCCCTCCTCCTCCTCCTCCTCCTCCTCCTCCTCCTTTTCCTCCTCTCTCATCTTCTGCTCCTCCTCCTCGTCCTCCTGCTGCTACTGCTGCTCCTCCTCCTCCTCTTCCTCTTCCTCCTCCTCCTCCTCATCCTCCCCATCATTCTCGTCTCCCTCTTTCCTGTCCTTCTCACCCCCTTCCCTTTCCTTGTTCTTGCCCGCGTCCTCTTCGTCGTTCTCCTCCTCCTCATCCTCCCCCTCCTCCTCCCCCACCTCCTCCTCCTCCGTAGCCCGTAGCCATTTGGGGTCAAGCAACTTGGGCTCAAGTCCATTTTGGCACAGCCCGCTTCTGCACCTCCGCGTGGTGCTTGAGGGATTTCGTGCGCTACCGCCACCCACGGTGGCGCACGTCAGCGAAGACAGGATACCAGTCTCATATCATAGTCTAAGTTGCACATGGTAGCGCCTCGCCCATATCGCCCATGGAGTCGATGCATCCATTGCAAAGCTTGTGAATGCAACGACCGTTTGGTGGCCAATGGTGGTACATGCCGACAGTGTACGAAGCAGGTCAAGCTCTACCGTCCCCGACAGGCTTCAGCCGAGAGGAGGGTGTCTTCTGCAGACGAGGAGAGTGGCAACGAGTCAATGGGCAGCCAGCCGCAGGCGCGGCCCAACCGCTAGAAAAATGATCAGGCCACCAAGAACCTCGGCAGCTTGCTGGCGAAGGCTGAAGAGGTGTGTGTGTGTGTGTGTGTGTGTGTGTGTGTGAGAACGACCCCGCTATGGCTGCGCTCTTGGCACAGTGAATCCGCCCCAAGGAGAAGAAGGAAACACAGGGGATCGTTTCTCAGGTCGATGCTGCTCGGCAAGCAGACGGTCACCGGCGTGCAGCCAGCAATCGCCACGAGCCACTGGTAAGTCAAGTATTACGGCTCCGCCGCCAGTTGCAGACAGCTGAGCAGAAAGAGCAACACACCGCCCTCGCCTTGGCCAAAGCAGAGCTCGACAAGAGGCGCGCCAATCAGGCTCTCGCACGAGCTGAAGGAGTCATGAAGAGAGTGCGAAGAAGGGCGCGCATTTCGGGGTCCACATGGACCGAGCCGTTTCCGAGACCTTCGAGAATTAGGAGTGCGAGGAGAGCGACAAACGGGCGATGCGCAAACTCAAAACCGAGCTCGAGGGCATTCTGGCACCATTCCAAGCCAAGGACGACGAGCCCCAGGCATTCCTGAAGCGCGCCGACGACCTACAGGCCGCGGTCAACGACAGGATGTCCAAGCAGCGTCGAGGCGAGGGTGATGGCGACGGTGCGACCAGGGGGACCCGCAGCAAGGTCACGTCGGCACGCCATGCGCAGCGGGCCCTGGAGGCCCCCCCCCCCAAGACAGCCGAGCAGACGAAGCAGGGCGACGAGCGGCTCTAGCGCGAGGCAGCCCGCCTCTCCAGGGCCAAGTTCGACGCTGCGCAGCGGGCGGAGACAGCTTCAGGAGTCGGCAAGGGCGCGTCAGAGGCGGCGGCGAGGGCGAGGAGTGTGACCCCTTCGGCACCAGTGGCCCCCGCCGCGGCCACTGCGCCTGCGGCTGCCCCTGCTGGTGAATGGCCATGTGCGGGCCCCGTGCCGAGGCCCGCGGTCAGAAACGGCGCCCTCCTCTGCAGATGTGACATCGCATCCGCCGCACTTTTGCCTGGGCGGCGTCTCCGTCACCGCGTAATGCTCTGCTGGTTCAGATAAGCATCGTGGCGAGTGGTCTGGCCATGATGTTGTGACAAGTGACGTGGGCGCGATAGTCCTGGGCGCTGCCTCTGCGACGCCTTCTACGCCTTCGCCGTCGTCGGTAGCTCAGTCTTCACCAGCGTCGGAGCCATCAGTCGCGCGGCTTTTCTTCAGTGGCGCCGTTTGCCTGGGCGGGGGGGCTGGGAGGCGCGTGAAAGGGCTCGGCAGCGCTCGCGACTAGTTCAGTTCGTGCGAAACCCACGTCGTCAAGAAGGATGTTCGGACGCGAGGCGGCAAAGCTAAGATGCACCGCGGAGACAGGCCGAAGTCACGGTGCGCCAAGAGTGATGAATCTCATTCAATTGAAGGAGGAGAGCGGCCCCTGGTCCGCGGCCGCCGCCCCGCCGAGCACGCGAACGGGGCCTCGGTCTGTTCGGGGCTTCAAGTGGAGCGTGGTGGGGTATATGCTCGATTTCTTTCTTGCGTGCTCGACGTGAAAGGAGTCGCCCTCGCAGTCTTCGCGTTCTATGGCCTCGCCTCCATGAGGTTCGCCAGCGAGCGCATCCGCCGTGTCAAGGAGCTTGGGATTTGATTGCAGCAGTGTAACTTCTCTGGCTTATGGTAGCATATCGAGACATGTCTCCAACAGATCTGGAACGCTCTGGATTTATCGCGCGCATGGGAGGTATGGCGCGCCAATCGGACGCCGAGCTCACCTGCGCGCCTGGCGGCGACCATGAAAAGTTACCGCATTGACGTTATTGTGCTGTTGGGGGCAGCTAGACCAGGCCCGAGAAAAACACAGCGTGCACTTCTCGCGCTGCCCTTGACGCCCCACGGGCCTCAGTGGGGAGCTCATAGCTAGTGGCAGCCAGCTCGTCGCGCGCGCGCCGTCTAGGCCCATCCTCTTCCCTGTGTTGCGCGGCCGTCTAAGCGAGCCATGCCTGCGTCGAAGTCCAGCAGAACCAAGGCCGAGCGTAGTCTTGCAAGGTCAGCCGCTGCAGAGCGTCGCGAAACCACGGTCCGCGAGTGGTTCAGCGAGCCCCTTGGCCGGCAACCTTCATAACAAGTGTTCTGTGCAAGCCGCCGAGGAGGCGGAAAGGGTGGGCAGCGAGGTCGAGACAGGTGCAGGCGAACCCGACGGCGGCGACTCCGAAGAGGAGGGCCCGTGGCTCCACGGGCCCAAATTCGGACTTGCCGCCCCGCCCCGCCCCTCTTGCACCGATGGTGATCGGTCGAACCCTCCCCGCGTGAGCCCCCAGTAGGCACTGGCCCTGAGAGCCCGGCGCCCGAGGGGGGTTCGAGGCCCCCCGAGTCTCCTGGGCCTGTAGAAGCAAGTCTCTGGTAAGCCCCAGGTGCGCGTTGAATTTTTCTATACCTGACTGACCCTTTGTGGGGCGAGCAGCGAAGAGTTGTGGGGTTCATTCCTGCTGCTCTCCACCTGCTCCTGCTGTTGCCTCCTCCGTGGCCTTCCGGGTTGGCCCGGGAGGTTATGGCGCCGCGTCCGCTCTGTTCGCAGCCTGGGTGCAGACAGTGAAGGCAGCGACCTTCGCGCGCCACGAGCAGGCTTCTCTCGGCTGTTCCAGGAGCGCAGCAGTCGAGTTCCGCGTCGCCGAAGTTGTCGAAGCGAAGCCTGCGCGAGAAGTTACCCTTCGAGGTAGAGTGGCGAGCTGGTGGGCCCGCGTGGCGACAACTCTCGCTTCCTTACAGTGGCGCGCAGCAGCAGTTCCTCCTCGCGCTCGCCGCTGGCCGTCTGCAGCAGGAGGCGCCAGGGCGAGCTCAGATTATTATGTGACCAGCCGGCCATCCGCGGAGCTTCTGGTTGCAATTTCTTGGACAGGTGTGTGCCGGTGCGTTGGAAGAGCTCACGCAGCGGGCCGCAGCTGCAGAACGCATTGCCGAGCGAGCTCAAAGGAGAACCATTAATCAGATTTTGGTTGAGTTTCAGACTTGGGTCGAATAGCGAGAAGCGGTCAGTCAGCTCCATCGAGCTATCAAGGAGCTGCCGCATGTCCCACGCACCTCAGTGCTGGCGGATCGCACGCCAGTGCGTACCAAGGACATCCTCGATCACCAGCGTGAGCATTGGGTCGCGTTGTGGGTGCCAAGCGACCAACCGCGTGCAGGGCTAGCTGATCTTTTCCAGGAGATGCGACGCCGCTTTGATGTGGAGGGCCGCCCACCCCTGGATGGCGCAGTCCTTTGCGCTGCCTCCGATCGCATGGAGGCAGGGGCCATGGGAGTTGACCGACTGGTCCCACTAGACACGTCTCGCTTACCAGACGCGGCCCTCGAGGAGCTATCATCCTTGCCCAACGTCTGCGAGGCCAGGCAAGTCTGGCCCCGCCAACTTTTGCCGATGATAGAGGCGCTCCTTCCCAAGAAGTTGATGGGAGATAGAGTGATCCCCAGTTGGACGGGTGAGTGCGAGGCGCATTGGGATGCGGCTATTCGTAGAAATTCAGAAATTCGAGACGTTTTCTTGAGAGCCCTCAGTGAAGAGCTGGCGGTGAGATGACGCTCGGAGTTCGGGCGCGGGTCTCTTCGACTTGGAAGGCTCCAACGACGCAAAAGGTTGGTTTCATTGTTCGGCTGGTCTCCGCTTAGCCATCCCCGCCGAGGTCCTGGGCCTCGAGCTGATGCAGTGCGTGGCGGCGACGTGCCTGCGACGATCGGGCGGGTCTTTAGCCCCATTCGACTTCGCGGGGTCAGTGGTCCGGGGCCTTCGATCGGGGGCCAGGTTCGCCAGGTGCGCCGCTTGCCACATCGTGCGGGGGGTCACCGCAATTCACGTGCACATGAGCCACCAGCTGTGGATCGACGACTTGAGTCAGAGTCTTCGAGCCCCAAGGCGCGCCTTGCTGGAGCAGATGGTGCAGTGCTGAATGGGGGCGTGCTGCAGCATTCAAGCATCGGGTTTGACGGCGCGCCCCAAACATGTGATGGTCTGTATTCGATTGTGATGCGCGACAGATTGCGCGACGGCTTCCCGTCCAGGGATACCGCGTCAGCGCTGTAGCCCAAACGCCTTATCTTGGATGTGACATGGGTGGTGGTAAGTGACATGTCGAGTCACTAGAACAGCGAATGAGTAGGGCGATTGTTTCATATGCCAGGGAGAGTAGGAGGTATGGCCTCACCACCCAGAGGCCCGAGCTCCAAGGGGTCCGAGCGGCATGCACGTACGGTCATCGCGTCCATGGGCTGTTCGGACAGCAGGTGCTTCAGGTACGAAGTCGTCTTGCTGATGCGTGCG